AGAAACTTTTTTTGATGTACCCCTCAATGGATAATACCAATGGATCCCGGTAACATTAATGAAAGTATATGTATGCGTTATGCTCAATGTTCAATTACGAACACTTTAACGCAGTTACATATGCGTACAGCCTTGTTCGCTGCGGTGGTAGGGCCTGCCAGAGGTTCAGAGCGACGCCAGATATTATACTCGAAATCCCTGAGATCGGGTAGGCGTGGCCGCATGCTTCAACTCAACCTGAAGGTGTCTATGCTTCTGGTGAGATATTTTCATCTTGACACAATTGTTGTCGTGTCTCTGTCCAACACAGAACAAGATGACAGTTGTCCCAGACTGGAATATTCCACGAGTAACCAATTCCGTGCCATGTCAAATGCCACGCCTACTCTGGCTCAGGGATAAGGAGTGTACCAGCTGTGGTCGCCTAACAGCTTCAACAACTGTTGGAGTCACGCTGGCGCCGCGCCAAACTCGGACTCTCTGACATCCGCAGCGAACAAGTGTATGTACCACTATAGCACCTCCGCTAGATTATTAGATCGAAACGTACAAATGCAAAATTGCAGATAGCTGACGGTTTCCTAGCATGATTTCGAGGAGATTGTTCGGAGAACTGAGTTAGTACAGAGTGCTGGGAAGTACTCACAAGTAAAACTCCTCACTGGGTGTCGTCAGTCGCTCACCACTCTTCCCCAGTGTGTCATTCAGTGAATCCGTACAGAGCGGTGTGTTCCATGAATTATTGCAAGTCTTCCAGGGAACTTCAATCTGAAAAAAATAAAGTGGGTCTGGAAGTCCGAGTAGCGTGAAAGAGCTCACAAGCTTTCGGCTCCATCCCTACAGCAATGAAGGTAAGTGTGACTTCATCTAATGAGATTTACGTAATTGCCGTGATCTGAGGCCGAAATCTCCTTACCTTACAAAGGGGTGAACGGCTTTCCAAGTGGGTTCAATGTGTTAGTAGGCTCAGTAGAAGGTTCGGTCATTTAGTGCGCGGTGAAGATGATGGTTTGCCAATTGTTATAGATCACCCAGTGGAGCCAAGTGATCGAGCGTTATCCTGTCACCAGTCGGATCGGCCGGCTAACGCCGAGCTCTCCTCCTCCTAACATGGGAGGTCGTTCAGGGCGTGGTGCGCTTTTCGAAAACGGTTTTTTGCATATTGTAGGGGCTCATGCAAGGACCTGAAAAGTGTGCTTCATTTTCGCTGCGCGCTTCCAGGAAAGGTAAAAAACGAGTGAAAAGAAATCTTTGGAATCTGCTTCGTTCTGGGCCTCTATACGTCGTAGACAGGGCACGCCACTGCCATGTGATCATTTCCTGAAAAATACGACCCCCCCAAATTCCATCTTCAAGTACGACCCCCCTGTTACCTCTTCCCTAGATTTTTCCAACCTCCTACCACTTTGTCTATTTTTTCCCAAAAAATTTCTTTTTTTTTACAAAATTTTGCTGTCGAGCGGGGGGGGGGTCGAGCGGGGGGGAAGTGCCAGCTACCTACGTATCGTCCCAAGCCAGTCCAGCACTTCTGGCCGCCTGAGTTGACTGAAATACGTACGAAGGAAGCGGCGATGACAGAGCAATACGATAACCCGCCCACAAGGCACCATTGAATTTTATGAACAAACAAAAGGCTCACGACGCCCGTGACGATTAATAAACAGATGAAAGTACATTCCCGGACTTTTCTGATCGTAGGAGCACATTTGCTTGCAATTGGGAAGCCCTATCTAGAAGTTACACCTTCCAAACACCTGCGTGAAAGCCCCATGCATGGCGCATTGCAGAGGTGATGCCAATTGGCGCCCAATGGCCTATTTCCTGATACCCTTTGCGAAAACACGTGTTTTAGAAACATACCAAAGCCTTCAAGCCAACTGGAAGTTTCATGACTCGGAGGGCGCTGAATTTTTCTTGTCGTGTGCGGGGGGGGGTGGATCACGAATGTATCACAACGGGAATTTTTCCGGAATAATAGGCCAGAAGAAATTTAACTTGCTCGCTGTGCCTAGAATCTTTCAAGTTTCCAGGCCACAATTCTCTTTTTACGATAAAGGCCATGTATGAAGCATTGCTATCGGACGTCCAAAGTCGTAGCGTACTCGGGGTTTCCACAAAATAGATCACAGCATGATCAACAAAGATGATCACAACGGAAAATCTCTGGAATCGGAACGTTTTTGAAATCGCTCAATTCAGGTGACAAGAGCCAACCTAGCTCTACTCATTCCCACTTACCCTCTCCGATAGCTTCACTTTCAACGAAGTTATGGGTGTTCAAATGAGGGGTACTTTTCACGTGTTTGGCTTGAAATTGGCTCCAGGCCGTAAAATAGCGCGCACCAATGAGCTTGCTGACCGCGAACAGCCAAAATTCAAAAGTAATCCATAGTTCCGGTTCCCAGCTGGCCTGGTGAGTTTTTTTCTTATCCATTCGATTGTGAATTATTTTGATTGTTTGTTTTTGTGAGTTGGATTTTGTTTTGTTGAGTTTGGATTTTGTTGTGAAGAAATTGCTCAGGATTCAATTTCTACGGTTTCATAGGTAGCTTTTGCAATGGATTCTTTTCTAGATTGTGCGGATTAGTGGATTGGGATTTATCTAGACCAAATGAGGAGGGTTGCGGTGCCGGGCGAACGTGTTACTTCGAGGTTTTTTTAAGCTTGAGGAAGGAGAAAAAAGTTTCAGCAATATTTTTTCAATTCTTGGCCTAGGAATAGTTCGATAGTGCCGAGTTCTATTTATTGTCATCTACATCGTCCCTTTTGAGCTTCTTTTCACTTGTACCGTGTATCACCGCTCTCTCCACTTCAACATGGGCCATGCGTTTACGACCCCCCCCCCCTGGGCGAGGTCACTTGCAACTTTGACCAGTTGCTGAGTGGGGGGTCCTTATAAAGGGGCTATTTGAATCGAAGCGAAAAATCGCCGCAAGTGAGCTTCCAACTTGGATCACGTGCTCAAGGGTGAACGGCTTCTTGCAATGGTTTCATCAACGGTTAGAGCGCTAGGCAGATTAGAGCAGCGGATGGCCTAGCGGTTACGGAGGTTTCGCTATCGGACAGTGAGGGTGGGGTTGATGGTTCGGCTTCCCCTTGCGTCGCAACTTTTTTCATTTTTCAGATTTCGCTGTTCTCGCTTCCATTTTGTGTCTGCGCTGCGAATATAACTAGGATATTTGCCATTTATGGGCACATTCTGAGTAGCTATACCTCATGAGTCAGTGCTATTCAACTATTTCGATTTTCACGCACCATTGAACAAGATTGTTGCTGGACGTTGTTCCTCATAGGCTATACAGTGGATCTGATTGCGAATTTTAGAGAAACTGCTGGGTGTTGTGTCAATTATAGTGACCATTTGGGGCCACATCTTTCTTTCGACTGAATTCGTTAATGTACACCAATATAGCGGAACCGTCTCAGCCCGCTAGGTCTGGTCGCCAAATTGCGTGGAGCGCCAGAATGGCGTTTTTATCATTTGTATATCACGGCGCCAATGATTTGCATAAAAAAAAAAAAAAAAAAAAAAAAAAAAAAAAAAAAAAAAAAAAAAAAAAAAAAAAAAAAAAAAAAAAAAAAAAAAAAAAAAAAAAAGTTTTCAGTCAAAACAATTGTTTTGACCTTCTTGGGTTTGCTTATTGGGTTGTCCGGGTCCGTAGCGTCAACGATACGTCATCGCTGTTACGAAGATGTGAAACTCCGCTCACACTGCCGACCAAATGGTCGGTCACCTACAACCCGAAAAAGTCAAAAAAAATTTTTCGCTCAGAAACTTGCTCCTAGGGGTAATCGACAGTCCTGATCACAATACTCGACTTCATTTTCAGTCCCAGTGCTATCTGGCATAGCGCCGAAGAGCTGAGTGTGTGCATACTAACGAATTCGAACGAGAAAGCAGTTTTGTTCCATAAAAGCAGGTTTGTTCAGTTTATCGTTGAACGTTTTTTTAGGGCCACTTATTTTAGACCCACGTGGACCCAAAAAATGAAAAATTTCAAAAAAGCAAAATTTTGTCCTCGGTGGGATCCGAATCATCGACTTATTTTTTACGCTTTTATTCGTAGAAGCGCGCAGCGAAAGAACCTCAGTTTCTGGGTCTTCGTATGTGCCCCTACAATATGCACAAGACCATTTTGAAAAAACTCACCACACCCTGAACGACCTCCCTTGTAAGCTTGGCTTCGCCGAGCTGGCTTAGCTTGTCCAGGGGCGCTCCATGGTTTTAAAACCTTTTCACTAGTGGGCTGCTCATACGGCGCTGTAGTGATCGAATCGTAATCAATAGAGCAAGGCTGAGGATCCTGCACTAATGTGGATCGCTAAGTCAAAGAACCGATTTCGTTTCCATTGCCTGCACCGAAATGCCTACCGATGAACATTTCCCCTTCAATTAGCATGCAATCCGCTATAAGTATAATTATTAGTAGGTACTATACTCCCTAGCTATTCGTTCTCATCAGTGTTTCAATGTTCAAAAGTAAAAAGAGCTAGTGGACGCATGAAGCGCCGCATTATTCAGGTTTTCTGTTCTCCTGAGTTTCACGCAAACTACATATCCCCCCTTTCCCTTCCCCGCCGCTCGTCGACATCGACATTATACAGTAGGCTAGTGGGATGAGTTCAGCCTCTAGAGCTATCAGAGGAGTGATGGCTGAAGCAAAACCACAAAAAGCTTCCAATACCTGGCAGTATAGTGATAAGAGATGGTAAGAATGATCCCTTATCCTTTCTTATCAATTGATAAGATTGCCTGTCACCCGTCATCAATGTCCCTATCACTAAAACTCTATAATTCATAAGGCTCCAGCACTTTGATTGAACAACAACAACGGCCACGTCCTTATCAACCCCTACCAGCTGTTATCAGCTCCTGTCACCTGCCGTCGATGTCCCCATCTGCCACTTTGTCATTTTCTAAAATCAACGCCTAGCTGATGATGTGTATCGCGTGATGAGTAATGTGACCTTACCATTCTAACTTCCCGTATCGAATCTTATCAGCTGATATCACTCCCTGTCACCCATCAATAATGTTCCTGTCCCACGCCCTATATCATACACCACTTATCCCTAACATGAAGTAGGCGTGGCATTCGAGCATGACATAGGGTGGGTTACTCGTGAGATGTTTCAATTTGAGACAACTGTCACCTTGTTCTGTGTTGGGTAAAGACATGATTATAACTGTCTCAATATAAAAATATCTCACGAAAAGCTCAGTCCGCCGTCACGTTCAGTTCAAGTACGCAGCCACGCCTACCGCATCTCAGGGATTTGGAGTGTACCTTGGAACCAACGTCCCTTTGTTGCTGTGTCCCGCACTATGGACTCGGTCACCCTCCCCTTCTAAGGCCCCTTATCGAATCTTATCAGGTGTTATCATCACCCACCAAAAGTGTTCCCGTCCTGCCGTGTATATCATGTCATCCTATCTTTTCTGCGACGCTCGCTATGAATTTCGTGACAGACAGACAGACGCACACACAACACACACACACTGACAGACATACTTAGCGGATTAAGTAGGATTGTCACTTCCTGAGGGACCACCAATTTTTATGGATGCTTGCACATTTTTTGACGCTTCTCTTTCGTAATATGCGAAAATTACCGATGAGTTTACTCAATGTCTTCTCCAGTTGGACCCAAGCAGAACAGTTCCAGGCCAGTTGTACGCTCGTAAAGTACTAAAGGTGCAACATGGATGCATCCTGTCAAAAGTGCAGGGAACGGGCTAGAGGACGGTGATACTCGGATGTCTTTTTCATGCTCCGCCCGCGCTACAGCACAAATCATAGCCACCTCTAATCATATCCAAGCATGCTTATTTGTCTGCGGTCCCTCAGATCTAGGTGTTTTGACCGGTCAGCGGGCGTTTGCTGCGGGATCTTGGTCGACACAAGTGTTGCACAGTGAGGATAGTTTTCGTAGAGTGGCATGTCACTGCAGCTGCGGACTCCTACATGGGGCATGGAAAAGACCGTTCTCGGAAGTGTGACTAAAGTTTGTCTATAGGAAGAGGGATTATTAAGACACTTAATTCTACACACGAGTAGAGGTAACGTGAGGGTAGCTACGTTGTAATAGCACAAAGACCTAGGTGGGAGGTTTTTTGAAATTAACAATTCTGCCAGACGCCTTTCAGGTCGCTGAAAAAAGTGCTGAGCACCTCTTTGGGGACTTTTCCGTTCTTGAGCAATGGAATTTTTTGAGCCTATCTGTGTTATTTACAGCATCGAGATACCCATAAGGCTCCACTGTTGCAAGACATCGCGACTTCAGGATCACTTTTTTCTGTCCTTATGAGTGCTCTGCACCGAATCAGAAATGCAACTCGGGTTAGGAGACACTCACCGCAATAGAGCTTGCAACAAAATAGACAGCATGTGCGATAATGGCATTGTAGAAACAGGCGATGAACGTGCAGATGAAGCAGATACCGTATCCCATGCTGAAATAATGGGCAGTGCATCCGTTAAGAACAGCTCCGGAAGGCAGAAAAAAAACCAGCTGTACCTTTGAAGAGCGGGCGGGCACACCTTCCGCCAAATGCTGACACAGCCTGACCGATGAAACTGACCAAGGGCCAACTCCATGTAGAACATTGGCAAGCCTCCCACCAGCAACATCACCAGGTATGGGATTAGGAACGCGCCTTAATTCGAATTTTAATGGGGC